TTGCCAGAGTTCTTCAACAGTCTAAGCTTTATGTGACTGAGCATACAACTGTTGCTAGAGATCTTTACTAGTCTAAGCTTTATGATGGAAACTGAGCATACAGCAACTGTTGCCAGAGATCTTCTGCAGTTTGGCTTTATGGGAGAGACTGAGCATACAGCAACTGTTGCCAGAGTTCTTCAACAGTCTAAACTTTATGGGAGGGTGACAAAGTGAAAGATTCCTAAAGAAAACTCAAATATCCACTAGAGTTCATCAAGTGAGTTAAATATTTATCTAGATTTTTTCCAGTAGTGACCCATCGACACCAACCTGCAACAACACACTCAAAATAAAAAAAATTAAAAAAGATTTGACCAAAGTTCTGACAGGGTTCTGTTATAGCATGTCCACATACCTGGCAGATTATCTCTGAATGCTCTGCAGCTCGTTCTGCCAAAACCTCAGGAAAGGTTTTTCTGAACGTTCTCGTTTCAGACTGCAGAACTCCTAAAGAACCCACGTCTGAAGGATTAGTCCCACCTGAAGCAGCAGGTACAGATGAGGAAGGTGGTGAAAGAACCAACAGGAGTAAGTCTCCATCGTTCTGTCACTGGTTCCTAAGGTTCTCTGGGGTCTTAGTCAGGCTTAGTTTTAAATGTGCAGCGTGTTTAAAATCTTTATTCTGCCTCTTAATGACCAAACTAATCTGATTATGTCTTTGAACCGTGAAAATATGTATTCTGTTTGTTCAGACTGAAAGCTGCCGACTCCACGCGACGATTCAACTCTTTAATAACTCCGTTGTGTTTGTACGTTTGTTTTAGTGCGTGGTCACCAAAGTTGACTGTAGTAGGACAATAATCCTCAAATCCTGGTCAAAATGTTGAAACTTATTTAGCAGAACTTCAGCACAAATTGTTCCGGTAGCTCCAGCTGTGATCTCACAGAACTCATCGGTTCCATTTGAACTGTCAAAATCTACAATTATTAAAAGGAAGCCTGAAACAAGAAAATTATTTTTCAGATGAGAACTTCAATGAACCGTGAAGCTCGTCTGAAGGAAGGAGCACAGAGGACAAACTATGGAAAGGATCAACACCAGCAACCAGTTGCCGCCGAACAGAGCAGCAACACGTTTCCACAGAGCAGCTGCCATTTCCCTCCGAAAACAGAGCAGCAACAAGTTCCCTCCGAACAGAGCAGCAACCAGTTCCCTCTGAACACAGAGCGGCAACACGTTGCCACAGAGCAGCAACCAGTTCCCTCTGAACACAGAGCGGCAACACGTTGCCACAGAGCAGCAGTCAGTTCCCTCCGAACACAGAGCGGCAACAAGTTGCCACAGAGCAGCAGCCAGTTCCCTCCGAACACAGAGCAGCAACACGTTGCCACAGAGCATCAACAAGTTCCCTCCGAACACAGAGCAGCAACAAGTTGCCACAGAGCATCAACAAGTTCCTTCCGAACACAGAGCAGCAACAAGTTGCCACAGAGCAGCAGCCAGTTCCCTCCTAACACAGAGCGGCAACAAGTTGCCACAGAGTATCAACAAGTTCCCTCCTAACAGAGCAGCAACACGTTGCCACAGAGCAGCAGCCAGTTTCCTACAGGTTAAACCCAGAACCGGCTGCAGTCTCAGAACCGGCCTGGGCTCTGTTCTGATCATAAATTCAGATAAAAACAGATCAAGTTTTGTAAGCAGTTCGTCCAGAACCTTGATCCACTCCTCACGGTGGACCTTTGGATCTGAACCCGATCCGGGTTTAGTTCTGGTGTCCATCAGGGCTGGAGGTCTAGCCTGGTCCTATAATAACCCAGAACCTTCAGCAGCTGGACCGTCTCCCTCTCAGCTGCGGGCCCGCCGCACACAGAACCGAGGCAGATTGTTCTGTTGTGAGTCAGAAGAATTATTTCCAGAAGACGAATCCAAACGGGTCAGACGTGCGCAGACCTTGGACCAAAACTAAAATTATAACTTTTCAGCTCCTCCACGTCAAATTACAGAGAAAACACCATGAGGACTCAGAACCGTCCACGGACCTGCTGAGAGGGAGACCACAGGAGCTACTGGTTCTGACCCAAGGGGGGAGGGTGTCATTACATCTGGACCCAAACTGGGTTTAATTACAGGAAGAACACGGGGCGGAGGGGGTCCAAATGTGAAGGTTCTGCTTTGATCAGGGTTGTTTGATAACAGACAGCAGCCATATGTCCACAGAACCACCCGGTCCAAACACGACGCCGGGCTGAACCTCCACCAGATCAACTCAGGTGAGAGGCCGGAAGGTACCGAACCCACTGCTGCAACACAAAAACACATCCAGCATCAGAACCAAGAGAGTCAGAGTCAGAGATTGTTTATGGTCATTCACATCACGTGGTGGAACGAGATCATGTTCACAGGGTCCCAGTTACATCCAGCAAGAACACGTGAAAGAAAAACTGTAAGATCTTAGAGATTCATGAGTCCAACAGCTTCAGGGTAGAAGCTGTTCCTCAGTCTACTCGTTCTACACTTAATGCTCCTCAACCTCCTTCCTGAGGGGAGCGGGACAAAAAGTGTGTGTGCTGGGTGAGTGTGGTCCTTCATGATGCAGGTGGCCCTCTTCCTGCATCTGGAGGTGTAGATGTCTGTGATGGTGGGGAGGCTGACTCCAACATCTTCTGTGCAACCTTCACCACTCTCTGCAAAGCTTTTCTTTCTGCAGCTGTGCAGCCTCCATGTCACACGTTGATGCTGGAGCACAGGATGCTCTCCACTGCACACCTGTAGAAGGAGGTGAGGACTGAGCTTCCAGACCAGCTCGCCTCAGCCGTCTGAGGAAGTAGAGTCTCTGATGAGCTTTCTTCATCAGGCTGGTGGTGTTGTTGCCCCACCTGAGGTTGTTGTTCAGATGCACACCCAAGTACTTGTAGCTGGAGACCACTTCCACCACAGATCCTCCTATATTGTAAGGGGGGGGGGGGGGGTTCTTTCTGAAGTCTATCATCATCTCCAAGACCATCAGAGCAGAAACATCTACAAGTTCTGGGAAACAAGAGGTCCAAACGTTCCAGGATTAAGGATCTGATTCAATCGAGAGGTCCAACCCGTCCGTCCTGCAGGTCCAGTTTACAGCTTAAGGTTCTGTTCAGGTTTTTGAACGTTTTACTTCTGAGGTGGAAGTTCTGATGGAACTCTCTGGTTCTGGTTCCCTCATGTAAAAAGTTCTGATTGTTCTGGGTCAAAGATTATCTCTGAAGAGGAACCAGAGACAGGAGAACTCTGCTGGACCATACCCTCCCCAGAACAACAGAACCACCATCCAGGTCCAAACCCAGCCTGAGACCTTCAGATGACCCACCACAGCTAGTCGGACCAGAACCATGACCCAAATATGACCCAACTCCTTATGGAACAGAACCTGGGTCATGTTTGTTCTGGTTCTGTTCCTGCATGTCAGTTTTAAACAGAACCAGTAAAAATCCAGTGCAGGTCATGTATAGAACCAGGTCCGGTTCTGGTCCAACTGCAACCAGAACCGACACGAGGCTAACTCAGGTGCATCACTGAAGTGGGTCAAAGTGGTTTTCAGAGGAAAACTCTCCGAACCGAACCAGAACTTCAGTGTGAGTCTGACGTCCAGCCGAACCTGACAAAAAGCAGACTTGAGGTCCAGATTATCGTCTGACTTTAACTGTAATCCAGATTAACCAGCAGCGCTTCATGGGATTGTCTGGTCGGGTTCGGTCGGCTGGACCCACCGGACCAACAGGTACGGAGACGCGCAGAACTTTACCAAACCGGGCCGAGCGGTTCTGGCTCAGAAAGAGGAGTTCTTTAAAGTTTTCAAGATCAAAGAAGCCGCGTAGTTAACTCACCGCCGCCAAGCGTCTCTGATCCTCCCGAACCTGTTTGGACCGAGTTCTGCTCCGAGTTCTGCTGGTTCAGCCTCGTTAAGGTCCAGATGCTTAAAGGAAACCGGTCCGAACTTCAGCCGAACCTGAACACGGTCAAACCTGGCGTGCGTGGTTCTGTTTACCGCAGCAGCACCGACGCCACCGAACTCTTTGTACTCATCCGCTCCAGCTCTGAGGTCTGAGCATGCGCAGTGGCTGCTCCGTTCAGCGCCTCTGTGAAGGTCGATGAGACGATAAAACACAGGTGTGTAGCTTACCTGACCGCAGCCTGGCCTGCCTTTACTGACTGGCTCATAAGAACGGAACCGAACCACCACATATTTACCCCTGACCTCCGGTTTTCACATAAGCAATCGGTAACTTGTAACGTTTAGATAACTTTTAGTTTTCTAAAAAAAAAAAAAAAAAATGTCTTAAAGTCTGTTTTCAACACGTTTCTATGACCGTGTTTAAATGTTAACATAAATTTAAACTAATTAAAACACACGAAAACAAGCGTTCACCTACTTTTAGTTAACAACGTTCCTCCTCCGCGGAAAAATATAGTTCTTTGAACAGCTAATTGTCGGCGCATTAATATTCATGTTTTAAGAACCTCTGGGACTTCGGCGTTCTGCTACACGTCAGCTCGTTAAACTGAATATTTGGTTAAAGGAACACTTTACTCTTATAAAAATGAGCGGTTTTGACCATTTAAAGGTCAAATATAAATCCAAACGACCAAAACAATTGAACCACAGCAGAACGGTTCTAGACCCGGACTGAACAGAACTGGACCTTCAGCGCCCCCTGGTGGCAATTAGATAAACAACAGCTTCGTCTCCCAGCTGCTGTTTAAAGTGGATCTTAATGGTCAAAATGTAAAAAATAAAATGTGTTTAATATGATATTTTTGTAAATTGTGAAATTAATAATTATAAAGGCAACATAAAGACATGACATAAACATTAATGATATATTTTGATAAATAAATTTTTGAGCTCTTTTTGTTGGCCGTCATCACTCCAAGACTAGATTTAGCCATTTTTATTTAAAAAAATATACATAGAATCATTTATGCAACCTGTTGTAAATCCTCCAAATTTCAACAAGTCGTTTTAACATTATAAAAAATTTTTTAATCAAGTAGAGAAAATACTCTAAGAAGTAAAAAGAAATATTATCATCTTGAGATGATAATATTTCTTTTAACAAACAGTTTTATAGAAACATCAACGTGCGTGGGTTGTAATCCCTTCTTACTTCTGGTCATTTTAGCCTGAAATGTTTGTTTGATGACCAGCTGAAATGGTTTTGGTTTCACGATAAAACAAAGAGTTGAAGTTTTATCAGAGCACAGAGCTGACATGTTTGATGAAATAATCCCATCATGAAACCTTCAGTAATCACATGCAAAGGGCTTCTTAAAAACAAAACTTTAAACTGTGCTTCCTATAACAGGTATTTAAGACCAGTCTGAAACTGAGGAAACGTGACGGGTCCTGAAGAAATACATCTGCAAAGACTGCAGATTACACATTCATAATATGAATTATATTTTTTAAATAGCTGTCATAAAGTGATGTCATTGTAATCTTAGTTTTTGGACCATGTTTGTACATTTTAACTAACAATAACTGTGGTCTGACATGTCTACAGATTTTAATCACTGGAACAGAAGTTGGAAGGATTGGAAACAGCTTTAAACTGAGGATGGATGTCTGGACGGATGATGGATGGATGATAGATGTTTGTTGGATAGTGGTTGGATGATGGATGATGGTTGGATGATGGTTGTTGACTGGATGCTGGGTGGATGTTGGTTGGACGTTGGTTGGATGACGGTTGTTGTCTGGATGCTGGCTGGATGTTGGTTGGATGATGGTTGTTGACTAGATGCTGTCTGGAGGTTGGTTGGACGTTGGATGGATGATGGTTGTTGACTGGATGTTAGCTGGATGTTGGTTGGATGATGGTTGTTAACTGGATGTTAGCTGGATGTTAGCTGGA